GGCAAGTGACTGATTCAGCTGTCCACTTAGCTCTTTGAGGTATACTTACACTTTGCTAATAAATCATTCTTTACTATTTACAAACAAAGTAGAAGAAATAAATATAAAGCCAGAAGCTGGTGGCTCACGCCTATAATCCTAGCTACTCAGGAGGCTGAGATCTGAGGATCACAGTTCAAAGCCAGCCCAGGCAGGAAAGTACATGACACTCTTATCTCCAATAAACCACTAGGAAACCAGAAGTGGCGCTGTGGTTCAAGCAGTAGAGCCCTTGTCTTGAGTTGAAGAGCACAGGGACAGTGCCCAGGCCCAGAGTTCAAGCCCCACGACCGACAACAACAACAACAAAAACCAGAAATAAATATAAGCATTATCTGAAATAGTTCCTTGAAGAAGTCAGCCCCCAAATAGTTTCTCTTGCATTATAGATGCTAAATTATGTTAAGCTAAATCTACTACTGTGGTCAGAAAGTTAGAAAATCAATTCCTCTCTACACCTTTTGGCACAAAACTAGGGTATAGCTACACCAGGAACACAATATGTTATACTGTTTGCTGAACTCCAAGAAAAATCTAACAGTGGGCTGGGATTTAGCAGAAGTGAGACCCTGTGTTTAGCCTCCAGCAAGTACTTCTCATCCAAAAAGAACAAAAGAAAGAAAAGTCTAACAAAGTTGCAGCTAGTTCAATCGACCATCTGAAATAGTGAATATTAGAGCTTCCATACTGCCTGAATGGGGTGAATGAGGAGCAAGTGAAATGTCAGGCATCTGAAGAATAAAAACTAAAAGGATAATTTTATGGTTGAATTGTGCAACTTCATATATTGAAGCCCTACTCCCCTACCTGTTCAGAATGAGATGTTTGGTCCCTTACAAAAATAATTAAGAATTCAGTCTCAAACATGCCCATTCATCCAATCTGATTGGTGTCTTTATAAGAGGAGATTTCAAGAAAAAGCTGGAGAGAGCAAGCAGACAAGTACATGCACAGCCAGATGACCATTCAATCACTTAGTAAGAAAACTGGCAAGTGTAAGCCAAGGAGACAGATCTCAGAAGAAACCAAACCTACCCACACCTTGATCTTTGAGTATGGCCTCTAAAACTGTGGGGAAAACTGGTTTCTGTTTTTCAAGTACTCAGTCTGGAGTATTTTGTTATAACAGCCCTTGCAGATTAATACAAAGGAGATTGATATGATCAAATGATTTTTAAAAATCTATAAAAGGGGGCTGGGAATGTGGCTTAGTGGTAGACTGCCTAGCATCCATGAAGCCCTTCAATTCCTCAGCACTACATAAACAGAAAAAGCCAGAAGCACTGTGGCTCTAGTGGTAGAGTGCTAGCCTTGAGCAAAAGAAGCTCAGGAACTGTGCCCATGCTCTGAGTTCAAGCCCTAGGACTGGCAAAAAAAAATCTATAAAAGGTCATGATCATCTTGGTATAGCAGTAGACTGAGGTTTTATTAAAAAGCAAATTATGTATACTTTCTACATCATAATGACCTAGGATACTTTTTCAAAAGCAAGTTTCCAAGCCCACTGGATTAAGAGTGTTCTTCTATGAGGCCCCAAAATCTAGCTGTCTTCATGGGTAGATACACAAATGATGTGTTTTTCATTCTCAAGCCTGAGGTATACTGCTCAAGGTATTGATTGATCTTTGCCTCTTTTCTGTGTCTGGATAGTGGGTACTAATTCAAATGTTTGGTGTATCTGGTGCTCGGGCAGATGTTCTCCCATCCAAGAACCATAATGACTCCCCTAGTAGGTTCTCTCTCTCCAGGTGTCAGCAGGTGTTTACCCAGCATGTGAGAAAGCTGAATGGGATGGAGCAAACTGAATCTTTAGGGGAATTTTCTTTCATTTCTGGAAAGAAATATGTGCCTCACATATCTTACTAAGAATATAATGAACATAGTTTAAACAATAATCTTCTGTACAAATATTCTCTAATTTGGTTTATTTAAAGGTCCTAAAACCTTGGCACCTAAATTAACAGAGGGAATATAAGAAGTAGAATAGGTATATGTAACTGAACTATTGTTATGACTCAGTTCTGTTTCTTTGGACAGTTCTTTGTCATGGCCTATGCTTTCTGTTTTGGTGCGTGGGGTAAAGATGCTAGAATGAACCCAGGACTTTGCATATTCTAGGCAAGAGCTCTACCACTGATCTACATCCCCATCTAATGCCTTCTTATGGCCTATACAGTTAAAATATAATAGTAAAATAATACAGCTATAAAAGGCTATTAGTAAATGGAATAGAATCTAGCATATATGTTAGAAAGGCCCTATGCTTTCATTTACTCTTTCACCACTAATAGAAAATATTCTTTCACATGCCTAAGATGAAATTTCTTTCCTTCACCTGTGGACCAAAGAGGAACTGAAGAGAGAGAGAGACAGAGACAGAGACAGACAGAGAGAGACAGAGACAGAGAGACAGAGGCAGAGAGACAGAGAGACAGAGGGAATAGTGTTTGTGCAAAGAAACTCAGTGATGATATTTTCCTTTTGTTTTTTTGAGACAAGGTCTCACAATGCACCCCAAGCTGGCCTGGAACTCCTTAAGTAGCCAGACTGGCTTTGAACTCTGACTTCTCCTGCTTCATCCTCTTGAGTACTGAGATTATAGAGATATGCCATCATACTGGGCTTGAACATTTTCAAAGTAGACAGACTAGAAGGCACTTATTCAAATATGGCAGTTAACTAGAGGCATGTAAAAACTGCCCTCCTACTAAAATGTGATTAAGGGACATAAGGTTTTATAAATGTTTTTGATTTGTTTTATAAAACCGAAATTGAGGCGAGTCATTTGTATTTTCCCATTGATGACTAGCCTTTGAGCCAAAATGCAGCCACACTATCGCTGCGGTGACCAGGCCCGTCTGGATTCCTACGACCACAGTTGCTGTTGTTGTTGTTATTTTCTCAGCACTTATTCCGTGTCAGGCAATGGACTCAAGTGTTTCAGTCTCCTTGACCAACCGCATGTCCGTTTCTCTGTGCAGCCCACTGATTCCCACTGTATTCCTTTGGGCAGGGGATGGGGGTGGCTGGGAAACTGCAATTGTCATTCATGTTCCAGGTGCTTTCTAGAAACGAGAATTGTGGCACTAACAAAGCATTGATTTAAAACTCTAGACTTGGTTCTCCGGGAAGGCAGAGGAGTTAAGCCCAGAGCACAACTGGATTTCCCTGGGACTGGAAAAAGGACATGAGGTCTTCAAGGAGAAAGCTTCCGAGTCTGGGCAGGGAAGGGGGCCTAACAATGAAAGGCGGCCGCGGCCGCGGCCGCGGCAGAGGGCTCCCGGCCGGGGCGGCGGAACCCCTCGAGGGGCGCAAGGGCCACCCCGAGACCTTTCGGG